TATGTGACCCTGGAGCACAAAACCAGTCATAAGGGTAAATCTTTCAAAATTGAGATGTATGCATCATCTGAAAGCTGAATAAATAATCTTTCCATTGATGTATGGTTTGTTAGAATCGGACAATATTTGGTTGAGAGACAACTATTTGAAAATCTGGAATCTGAGGGTGCAAAAAAATCTAAATATTGAGAAAATCATCTTTAAAGTTGTTCAAATGAAGTTCTTAGCAATGCATATTACTAATCAAAAATTAAGTGTTGATATATTTACAGTAGAAAATTTACAAAATATATCTTCATGGAACATGATCTTTCAAAAAGGATCATATCCTAATCATATCCTAATGATTTTTGGCATAAAAGAAAAATTTATAATTGTGACCCATACAATGTATTGTTGGCTATTGCTACAAATATACCCCAGCGACTTAACACTGCTTTTGTGCTGCAGGGACACATTTATTATATGTCTTGTGTTAATTTAGTGGAAAACATTTTTTATTTTTTTATTTATTGATTATTTTTTAACCAAATATTCTGTCTATTTTAGCAGTAGACATTCAGAATGGACTTGCATATTTGGTCCAGATTGCGTGTTTCAATTCATATTAGAGCAAATGCATGAATTTTGAGGTACAGTGGGGCAAAAAAGTATTTAGTCAGCCACCAATTGTGCAAGTTCTCCCACTTAAAAAGATGAGAGAGGCCTGTAATTTTCATCATAGGTATTCAGGTATTTTGTGGTCAAATATTTGTGCATCTTGAAACTAAACTTTTCCTTCATTGCTATTTTTTTTATCTCGTATTCTTTTGCAGTAATTTGTTGGTGATTTAGAAATACTGTGAACTTCACATTGCATCACCAAAAATAATTCGTCACTTTTTTATTTTTATTAATTTGTTTAGTATTTTTCAGCTTCTTTTTAACTGCGTTTCTACATGCATTTTCTATAAACATTTAATATTTATTATGTTTCTTGTTAATTTAGTGGGAAGCTTTTTTAAAATTATTTTCATTTTTTTTAAACCAGATATTCTACTCTATTTTAGCAGTAGACTTTCATAATGGACTTTGCAATCATGCATATTTGATATTTTCAGTTCATGCTCGAGCAAATACATAAATATTGAGGTATATATTCAATATAAAAAAGCTGTAAATATTAAATAAAACAGGCATTTCGTGATCAAATATTTGTGCATCATGAAACTATATTCTAGTTTTATGCCTTGCATATCACTGTGCTCTTTCTAATCACATAAAATAACTTAAACTCAATATTTCATGTCTGTTTATTCGATTATTTGATGATAAGTGGCCGTGTAATGAGCAGAGTAATGTAACGTCAGCGTCTGCTTCTTTTGCAGTAATTTTACTGTTAATCTTCCAGCCGGTTTCTTGTGGATTACATGTTGATTTGGTTTCTCAGATGGGCTTCCGGATCATTGGGGACAGTCTGGTTATCCTCCTGTCATGAGTAACTCTCCTCACATCGGTCAGCCGGCTCCGTTCTCCTCCATAAACACACAGGTGAGCCCAACACTCGGCCATCTGGAGTTATATTATGGATTAGAATTGAGCTATTTTTCATATATTCAGAGTTTTTTTTATGTTGTGCCCAGTGCTGTCAGGATTGAGAAATGTAGCTGATGTCTAAGAAATAATAAAAATGTATTTTCATGTATTAAATGTCACACAAAACTATGATTAACTAAATCCTTCGCTTGTCACGTGTGGCATAAGATTAATACACTTAACACCATTAAATATTAATATAATAGAAACAGAAATGTTTACAATAATCTGATCATCACCGAAAAGGAAGTAAATGTATATATAAATAATTTATAATTTGTATTTAAATATATAAATATTTTAATTTAAATATATAATGTATTTATTTAATTATATAAATGGCTAAATTATGGTAACGCTACTCAGATCACTCGCCATTGGCGTTTGTCGAAGTTATTTATTTTGGGAAAAAAATTGAATTTATAATTTTTATTTAAATATATAATTTTTGTATTTCTAAATAGAAATTCTAAATATATAAAAATATATATTTGGCTAAATTTATAATATTGTCATGTATATGGTATCTCAGGTCAAGTTATTTATTTTGGGGGGAAAATATTTAAATACTTTGTTTTTAAGTATATAATTTTTATATTTAAATATAAATCATAAAATTACATCAACAACAAAAAAAATAAAATATATATATATCTAAATATATAAATGGCTAAATTTGTAGTATTGTCATTTATGGTTACTCTTCTCAGTCTTTATTTATTTATAAAAAATAAATATATTTATAATTTGTTTTCATATACATTTTTATATTTAAATATAAATTATAAATATATAAATATATATATATTTAAATATATAAATGGCTAAATTTATAGTATTATCGTA